CGCATGAAACAACTACTTTTAATTTTTCGCTTGTGAAGTACTTCAGAACAAAAGATTTATTCAACAGAAGTAACTTGGTGTGAAGAACAAGCGCAAAGGAGAAAAGAATGATTTCATTGAAACTCAGCAAAATTCACTTTATGATGTCCTTAATTCTATTATTCACCGATATCAAGCTTGAATTAAAAAGTGATTATTATAATTAATGATACGAAATCGTTAGTGCACGAAAGAACACATGTACTTAACGACACCGTGTCTGTCTAATGGAAAATGCTACTTACATATTACAATATTTATTCATAACAAAGTGTTTGGTGTCGAATTTTCTATAACGTATTCTTTTTTTTTATGTGTGAATCAAATCATCGTCAAATTTGACTGTAATTTCGGGACACCGTGTACGTAAAAAAGATATAATTCCATTAATAAAAGATATTTCCGATCACTCGGCAACACTGTCCGGCTTTCCATTCGTTGTTGAAATTCCATTTTTCTGTTTTCACCTCCCCGCCCCGTTTGAAACAACGCGAAATCAGCGGCTCGGAAAATAAATTGTCAATCAAATTCCGTCTAGCTGAGACGGGAGAGAACTCCGCATAAAACTGCCGCCCGTCGAATTTAATAGCCGATTAATCGTTCCGAAACGATTGTTGTCTTCGTTTCGGAGATAAAGGATTACTCCATGCAAGCTGCGTGCTCGAAATTAAACATATTCCGATCGCTTCGACGCGACGATTCGAGACTAATTTCGACTTCGACGTTTTTCTATCGATCGAAATGCGTGACCGACGATGCGAAACAACGTTCCGGATGCTGGAGCACGGCGTGTGTCCGCAAACAAGGAGAAATTTTTTTGGTCGATCAAATATCGACACATAAACAACAGGGATGTTCTGTCTTTCGTTAGTTTCGTCGATATTTACTAATCAGACTCGGTTTTAATCGAAGCGCGCGAAAACAAAATTCTCGTTCCGTTCCGTTGGCAAAATCATGGCTCGGTCATTGAAATTTATATTGACACTGCAACGTTCTTTCGAACGTAGCTTACCTCTGACTACTTTCCCGCAAATATACATCCAAAGCTATTTAAATTTTTATTTCCGGGGCGTCGAAATTGGAGCTAATAAACAAAGCAATTATTTGGAAGGCAATATCCTTCCGTTCGGGCAATTCCCGTTTCATTTCGCGATGAATGTAACGAGTACGTACGATATAAATGTAATTAACATGAATAGATATCAAATTACTGTTAAATGACTAAATTTGTTTGTTTCGAGATGAAATCAAAATCCATGTACGTGCATCTTCCTAATAATGGCAGCGATTGGGAAACAATTTGAAAAAGCAAGGAGCGCAGACCCATGAACAAATACAAAAAAAAAAAAAAAAAAGAAAGAGAAACAGGCAGATCGCGTTGATATTCGTTCAATAGCAATTACTATTCCTCCAGTTTAGTTTTGTCGCGTTGATCTGATTCTCCGTGACAGTTTTCATTTATTTATCGCCGTTCGGCGAATCCCGACTCGCGTCCATTTCGATTTCATTTAGATATTTAACCCTTGTCTAAATTACATGGACATTCATAGACCGCCATAGTTCGAGAGTTAATGAAGATTTTAGCGGTTTCTCGATATCGCGCCGCGTTTCTCTCGGCGAGTTACACGAAACTCGATATTCGTTGGTCAAATTTCGGTTCAGAAACGAAAATGTTATTGCAATTTCGAGATTAAGTTGAGGGGATTGAAATGAACTTCATTGATGCAGAATATAGAGTGTTTGTTACTAATATATTGATCAACGCTGCGTTATAAAGAGGAAATTTCGTTTTGTCGAGGAATATTAAGCCTTAGATTATCAGCTATTGATGTATCAATTAAACTTGATTAAATTTGAGATCTGATACTATACTTTGTTAGGAAACATAATACATTTCTAATAATTTAATACTCAAGTGTCTCCTGATGTCATAGCACCGAGTTTAAAAGAAATTGAAATAAATTTCTCATCGCGGTGATTGCATTTAAGAAATCTGTCTATTTTCAATTCTCACTATATTTCTATCTATAAACAGGGCATATATTTATGTACATTTAAACGTATGTATTAATTTCACGATTGTTTAGATTGTGACACCTAAAAATTAAGAAGTCACTCATTACTTTCGTAACAAATGCAAGGATACAAGTATAACTTAACTCTGGTTATAGAAAACTGTATCATCGTAACATTCGCGAGATTCCTGATGAACCGAAAGACGCACGAAATTAAAAGAAAGATACTTTTAAAGAAACGATCTTCCTACAGAGAGAGAGTCAAGTCCCTTCAGAACCATAAAATATCAACAAAATTAATCAACGGAGAAAGAGCGCCATTCACGCGCGTTAATTCGAAAAATAAAATGAAAACCAATGGAAAATAAGAGAACGGACGGTAGTAATTTCGCTGATAAATCGGACGATATTAATCGTGACAGTATAATTTCCCGTCGCCGGGTAATGCGTTACTATATAATTATAACGAAATGTTGCAACGCGCCAGATTGCAACAATTATCGTCAGTGGCTAATTAACAAAGGACCGAAGTAAATCATTGTCTCTGAGCGCTATCGTTACGGCGGGGGTCGCGTACACGGCATACGGAAAATCGGAGTGCATCGGTATGGGGAAGGGGGGCTAATTATCGTTAAGCGACGACTTGAAATGGCGACCAGAAAATCGATGTCCCCGTGCGCGGGGCACGGCCTTAAAATTGCAAATAACTATATCCAATTATTCGCGCGAAATTGTAACAAATGTTCTCAAGTTATAGCGCGATAAGCGTGAAACTGTCGTAAGAATCGCCGTAGCGATTTCGAAATTTTATCGAGTCGCGTTACCGTAATTCATTCCCCTCTAATAAAACTCCTGGACGCTTATAAAGGGAGTTTACCACTTTCCAGAGTCTTCGAACACTCGTTTCGTGGACAGCGCGTTTAATTAAGCAATTTAAGTAACTGCTCGATTAAAGCTGAGATTTCGAATGGCGGCGCGGCTAGACTGAGGATGCTCGCGTCGAATTTATATTTTTATAAATTCGACGCGTGTAGAGAATCGAGGCCGAGTGAAAGTATCGTCTTCTTGATTCTCGATATTTTGCAAATTTTCCTGCAAATTACGTTACGATTTTTCACGGACGCATAAACGTCCACAGTATGCTCTGCTCCTCTTGTTAATTCATTTCAGTTGCTTGTTAACGGTGTAATAAATACATTTACAGGATTAATTAAAGATCGTATCGTTCAATATCGTAATTCGTGATTCTACAATAATAGGAAGGAAGTAATTTTACAACGATAATATAAAAATAAGCACGTACGACAGTAATCAATATGTTCGAGCAATAAATATGATCGTAGTAATCGTGATCGTTGATCAATTAATCATTATATAAAATAAATTATTAGTACCGATTAATTTTTGTAACTTGTAGTCATTGATCAGTGAAAGGTTAATTTATTAAACAAACACTAATATCATTGATACAGATGAACTATATCGATAGAATCATAATCAAAAGTGCAATCATATTACGAGCAATGGTCATTAAATTAATTATAACTTTTTGATTACAACGATTTCAATTATTTCCTTTATTCATTTACCAGTGATTATAATCAGCAATCATGATTTCACGTTAATCATAAACATTAATTAAATATACCCAACTCCGAGTATACATATGTACGTACATATATGTATATATTATAGTTCATGTATACTGTCAGTGAAAAGCTTTCCTCCAGAAAGAAAAAGCAGATTTCCTTCTATTCAATTACCTAAACTGGATATTTAGAATATCTCGAGTACTATCTCGAATCTATGTAAAATTCAAAGGAAAATCCATTGAAGGGATAGCGACTGCAGCGAATCCTTTGAACGTAGACTACAGGATTCTGATACAGCGTTTCCCAATCTTCACTTTTCTCCGATTCTCTTTCTTTCCTCGTCAAACGTTATTTCTATTCCCTTTTCAATCTTCTTCCCGATTCCTTTTAATTTCTATCACAGTATAACTAACTGTGTGTAGTATATAACTAAATCGAATGATTATTTACTCACGTTTCTGCGACCATTGTGTTTCGTGGTTAATCTGTAATCGTTGGCAAGTCTGTTCGACTCGACGAGACTCGAGAAACAAGTTTTAGCAGTTATTTAAGAGAAGGCGCGACTCCGAACGCTTCGACCGATCATTTTCGTTCCTTCGCGAGTTAAAAGGGGAAACTGGACGCTTACCTCGAACACGTTTCCTCTTGATGAAGTTGCTATTCTCACGAAATATCCTTCAAACGAAATATTTCGTAGCGAACTAACTTGGAGAACGAAATTGAATCTGTTTTCTCGTTCGTGGTACATTACGACTTTTTTTTGAGAAACTTATTTTGCAACTAACGACAAACGAAAGCGATCGGCGCACTGATAGTTGCAAAATTTGTCTTTTAGATTTAAACGTTTCGGATATTAATTTACATTTGAAAACTTTCTAAAAAGAAATTTTTTTACTTTTTACACACTATTCGAATGAAAGATTCACGTTATGTGTAACTTTTTCACAATATTACAAATACGTACGTTTCCAGAAAAAGCAGAATTTATAATCTTTATTTATATTTACTTACTGAAAATGATAATCATATCAATATATAGATTTAACGTATACTTATATTAATTTATACTTGTACACTTTATGATACTTTTCACACATTAATTTAACAGTGAAATTGTTCAAAATTGAAAATATTATTCTAAGAAAAAAAAAAAAAAAATACAACTACTCTTATCCATGAGAAATATAACCTTTTCACGATAAATCTCAAATTTACGGGAAAACAAAATTCATAATTGATTCAATTGATATCGGCTCAATGAATTACCCGATCAGTAATGAAATTGCAGCATCATTATCGAGAATCAAACAGATCCAATTTGGTTCGGCGTCGCACCGTCCCGATAATTACATCAGTTTCAACGTTAATAGATCAGCGATAAAGTCAGTTTACTGTACTCACGTCGTATTTTTCCTGAATATGAGGCCCAGCCTGAGCGATGTACAACGTGCTGGCTGTATCGAACACCAGCTCCAAAGGAATTCTGGTCACTCGTTGTTTGGCCATCTCGTGACAGTTTAAATACAAAGTGACGTCGATCGTTGACACTCTGATGACGATTTTAGACCATTTCTTAGTTAATTTTGGCACTGTGAATTTCGCCACCTCTTCCGAATGCGAGTGTAAGTCAGAATTGGTGTAAACCAGTGAAACGTTCTGATTTGTGCCTGGTCCGTCCTGGTAACAAACAGAATATATTTCCTTGAGTCAAATAGAAGTGCCAGAATTTTTCTTCTCTTAACATTTTGTCCCCCTTGAACTGAAACGTCCGATCTGGCGTTCTTTACTTTGGCGTTCCACGTGTATTTTCACTTTTTAAGCGAAGGTAAAGTTACAAATAGCGACTTAATCCCTTGCGCTGGCAACTGGTTCGCGGACCATAACGAGTGACCGAGCCGAACAGATTAATTCGTCGCTTTCTTTTTCTTCTCGAACTCGTATGATATCGCTGGATAGAAATTATTGAGAAGTAATAAATTTATTATTTGTTCTGTCTGCGTTACATTTAAGTATACTTAAAACTGAGAAAATATTGCAACGTTATTCTCGACGTGCACGTCACTCCAGCGCAAGAGGCTAATATGTTGAAGAAAACAATTAAGCTTCAGAATTTTGTTACGAAATACGTCTACAAAAATTTCTCTCCTACACTAACCGTTACAATAAATGCTCTAAAAATCTGCTCAACGACCATTCCAAATATTCCCAAATTTCTATAAATTCTCAAGTAAACTTTTTTATCGACACGTATAAATTCTGACGCGAAGGAATTTCGAAATGTTCCCCGGAAAAGGAAACCCAGAACAATTGCGTTTCTCTGATAAAAAGATTATCGGCAGATCGGTTAGAACCGCGAGAGAAAATGCCAAGAGAGATTCGAAAGTCAAGGTGTTTTCCCGCGGTCTCAGGCTGTCGTTATCGATCCTCTCGGGGATCGTACTCTCTTTTGAAACGTCGAAAGCGACGAGTAGCTGCTTTCGTTGCGGAACACGTAGAGGCAGTATTACCCGTAGAAACGGTGCCGCGAGAAACGTGAAAGATCTCAAAGAAATTTGAAGACCTCGGGAAGCTGCAACAACGGCCTCGAAGGTATTGGGAAACACGGGAAAATGCCCCTCGCCGATAGGGGAGCGTCGACTTAAAAGTCTATCGCGCCACCGCAGCCGGCCCCTTATAAATCGTCCGATTGTACTTGGAAAGTTTTGCCGATCTCCCGATTGCTTTTATATTCACGGCCCAGTCGTTCGTCGTTTCATTTTATTTCGCCGCGTTTCACGGCGGACACGGCGCGGTGCGCTGGTGAAAGACAAACGAGACCCCGAGAAACAGCGAATTGATTTTCAATCATGAAACTAGCGCGCTGTTCGAAATATTATTCTTGTCGCGCGACAAGATGTGTGTGATGACAATGAGACTGTAAAAGTTGGCCAACAGCTTGCACAATTGGAGTTTGTACGTGTAATAAGGCTGATTTTACCTATTACCTCTGATTTTTTTCGTTCACGCAATGGAAGTTCTCATTCATTAAGTAAAATTTCGTTAAAATAAACACACACATATATATATACTTTTTCTACTGTATCGATGTTTTTAATTATATACTATAAAAAATATATACTAAAATTATATACTAATGAAATTATACTATACTATATAATTATATACTAAAAAATATATACGAAAATTATATACTAAAATTATTAAAATATATACTAAAATTATATACTAATAAAATTATACTATACTATATAATTGTATACTAAAAAATATATACTAAAATTATATACTAATAAAATTATACTATACTATATAATTATATACTAAAATTATATACTAATAAAATTATAGTATACTATATAATTATATACTAAACAATATATACCAAAATTATATACTATTATATAATATTATTAAAATTATATACTAAAATAATTAAAATATATACTAAAATTATATACTATATACTATTATATAAATTATATAATATAGTATAATAAAATTATACTATACTATATAATTATATACTAAAAAATAATGTCAATCGTATTGTAGATGTCAAGCAGCACATTTTTTCACTTTTAATATTATATTATCAATTTGTACACGTAAATTGTTAATAAATAAATTATATAAAAATAAAGTACACGTATTTTACTTGCATCGTACGTACTTTACACAAGTTTTAAAAATCTTGTAATTCAAGTATTGCTTGAATGAAGAATACATCCTACTATTTAATAATTGTAACTAATCAAAAGTAACAGAGAATATCCCGATTTACTCAGCTGTATGTAAAACCACACACTTAAATGGAAACTTTTATTTTAAATCATGCAGGCGTACATTGAACAATGAAACATTAGTATTTCATAAAAATCAATTGATTGACAGACAATATGTTTGATAAAGAATAGAAACGTAGATAAGATACTGAATTGTACTTACGGATATCCGGATGCCTAATTGCACGACAGTCTCGAAAGGATTCAGAACAGCGAAAAGGTAACTGGTCCTGAAGGATGTCGGCTTGAAAGTTGCCACTAGAGTGAACTCAGCTGGCAATTTTTCTGGCAGATATAACCGATAGGGTTGTTTAACTTCGGAGCCAGGACGAAAGCCGAAACTTGGAAATCCGTCGAGACCATCGTCGATGTACAAATTATTACTGTCTGTCGATGCCACGGCAGCTTCCAGTAAATCATAATCCAACTCTGAGCAACAACAAAAAGAAGAGAAAAAGAAAATGAGCGGGGTGAGTACAGTTAACAAGTTTTCTCATTTAGAAATTACAAGTTGCACATCATTTGACGAGCTGTATTTAATAACAACACTTTATCACGAAACGAGGGAAATTTAAATCTTAATGAATCATAAATATTTTGAAAACAATTTTCAAGGTATTTCAAAGTAATTGTGAAGTAACAATGTGAAATTGTGTTAAACCTGGCAAAATAAATTAATTCGTTTTCAGTGATTTACGTGTATACGCCTGGACATTTAACATCGCACAAAACTTTTCTGTACGTGAAATCTCGTGAATTTAATGTTAAAGGTAACGCTAAAGGGATAATAAATGAAATTACAACCATTGATATTACACTGAAATGAAGTACAAGAGCAAAACCAAATACAAGTCGATCAGGAATTCTACGATTCTTTCTTTCTTTTTCAAGCCCGAGTTAGTGGGCAAATAAGCTAAGCTTTCGTACAAACGTATCTGCGCGTCTCTTTCTTTTCTTTTTTTTTTTGCTTATTTCTATTTGCCAATTTGTTTCACAAAATTGCAAACTCCCTTGTAAGTAAAAAAGGGTGAAGGATTCAGAAGTTCGAGGTTCAAAGTGTATGAAACTCCTTCCGTTGAAACGATTTTAGATTAACATTGCGAAAGTGGACAAGTACTTGAAAAAGAAACAGAGAGAAGAGAAAGAAAGAAAGAAAGAAGAAAGAACGACATGAATCTCAAACATAATCAGAAATTCTTTCCTAGATACTTCTTTCAGAATAATTCATTTTCTTCACTTTTTCGAACATTATCTAATGGTTAGCTAACAATTCTTGACAACAAGAGAGTGTCAGACAATAATGTACAGAAAGTATTATTACACCATAAAAAGCACAAGAATTGATTACATTGTAACATTGTGTAATATACAGTGCTTGTTTCAAATCTCGGAAAATTAAACGATACTTAATGCAATAGCAAAAATAATACAACGATTAAGTCAACACAATGATACAAGTTCAATTGATGCGATAAAAAAATTTAATTAATTTAATTTAATTTAATTTAATTTATTTATTTAATTAATTTATTTATTTTAATTTATTTTAATTTAATTTATTTTTTTTTTTAATTTATTCTTTAGAACAGATACTGAATATTAAAAGCCAAAAGTGTTCCAAAAACTTTCAAACGAGATCCACATTTTGGAAATTGTATTCTGCACATTTATACGAGCATTTGATCAATACGTCATCAGAAAAATATCAAACGAATCATTTACAAGAATTATTAGTTTTAGACTCAAACATAAAACAAACAGCTATAAATAATTGACAAGATTTTCCTCCTATAAATAAATGAAATTTTCATTATAGTCAAGCCACGATCATCTGAGTGGTTGTATTCTGAAACTGAAGCTAATAGAATCGAAACTACGATCCGAGTAATTGGACTTCTCGCCTAATTTCTTTACATGGATCCTTCGCAAAATTTCTGTGCAAAATTCCTTTCAAATCCCTCGATGCTTCGAACGAAACCGCCAAACATCTGGCGGCATTCACACGCTCTGTTTCCCAGAAATAACAACGGGAAAATAAACGAAAATCCACGGGTTCGATGTGCCCGAATTTTCCTACTCGAGATTAAATAATAATCCCGAGAAACAGACAGGCGACAAATGCTCGACCTCGCTCGTGACACGTTAATCCTAGCTCCACATAACAAACATCTAATTTGTACTTCTCGTTTCACGGAAATTGTTTGAACCGCAGTTCGAGCGAACGGGGCAAGTCTCGCTGGAGTGTCGCGGGCGAATAATTATTTAGACACGATCGTCCCGCGGGACGTCGAAACGTTCGGCTGCCCCCGACGAGACTATAGTTAATTAAGGACACGCTCGCCGTGTTGAGAACTCGCGAGAGAGGGCGGACGAAAAATACGAACCAGCAAAAAGTAGTTGAAACTCGAAGCGAGAGAACTTTAATTAATTCGGTGCGTGGAGACTTCGGGGGGGAGAGGGCGAACGAAATCTTGATAGGGCGCGCCACTCTAATGCGAATCCCCGGGCCACGAAAAAGTCGTGCGAGGCTAACGCCCTTGAACATCTTGTTTGGCCGAACTGATTGGAATTATTAAGCAACTGAGATTGAACCGGCTCGGTGTAGTTAAAGTTCGCGCCAGCGAGCAAGCGGGATCCTTTCTTTTCCTTTCTTTCTTTCTTCTTCTTCTTCTTCTTTTTCTTTTTTTTTTTTTTTTTTATATGGGGGTTTAGCGTCGCATCGACTACGAGGTCTTTAGCGACGTGTTGAAGT